CGTCTCGTCCGACCCCTCGGGTGTGGGTTCCGTCTCGCCCAACCCCTCGGGTATGGGCTCTGTCTCGCCCAAGGTCGCCGGTTCTATCTCGTCTCGCCTGATCCCGAGGATGCGGGCTCTGTCTCACTCTATCCCTTGGATGCGGGCTCCATCTCGCCCGACCCTAAGGCCGCGGGCTCTGTCTCACCAGACCCTAAGGCCGTGGGCTCTAACTCACCCAACCCCTTGGGTTCGTGCTCCGTCTTGCCTGACCCCAAGGACGCGGGTTCCGTCTCGTCCGACGGGGACCCATACCGCCGCCAACCACTCCAGGTCCAAGCGTATAGGCCTAGGTCAAAACTCTGACACTCGGAAAGAGCCTAGCATGCCTCGATGTAACCCGTGGCCATGATAGGCCATATTTGGCGATTCACATCAAGAACAGTGTCGGGCGTGCCAGTACTAATCTGCCTAACCTTTGTACGAACGCTGACAGACGCGTCAGTTCACCACGATGTCCGTCGGGACGGAGTGGAACGCCATGACCGGCAAATGATGCCTGCGTATGATGCCAGTGATGAATAGGGCCGTGATGTGGAGCCGTCCCTGTTGACATCTATCGGATCGGCGAGGCCCGCATGAAGGAGAAGATGGATCCGATGACCCTGGAAGCCTTCTTCTCTCTCTCTCTTTGTCGTTCTTCTCCTTTTCCTCCACTGTAAACCGCGCTTTTCCTTCGCTTATAAAAGGGAAAGCAGGACGCCCCATGGGAGGGGGGCTGGACCACAAGATAAAAACACAAGAGCATGAGACAAGCACATGGCTGAGCGGCAATCGAGCTCTCAGCACCCATTCACTTCTTCCACCAAAGACTTGAGATCCTTTCCATCTCTCGTCTGTTTATAACCCCTACTGCAAACCAAGTGCCGATAACACGAGCAGCAGCGAATTGGACGTAGGGATGTCCACCTGAATCAGTATAAACCATTGTATCCTCCGAGCACACCATCCGAGCTAGACGCGCAAATATAAATTTACTCATCGGTGATCCGAAAACACCAACAGTCCGATTGTGATTTTTGTGTCCAGGTTGTTTTGTCTAATTTATGCCTCACTCCAATTTCCGTCCAGGTCTTGGTTTCTTTGTATAGGTCGTTTCCACCCGATCATTGTTATGCTCGCTTCAATTTTCGTATGATTCCGATTTTATTCTGGTTGCCTAGCTTTTTTATTGTGCACGTTCTTTGCTCCTGTGACTTTTTTGCTCCCGTGATTTTTTCTCATATAAACAAAAGAAATAGTAAATATAATATTTTTGAACTAGTTTTTTATGATTACATAATACAACACAGACACTCACAACGTACGCACACATTCACCCCTATGAACACATGCACAAAAACCCTACCCACTTGAACCATTAACTTTCCAATGAAATAAAATATTTATGTAGTTTTGATTATAAAATATTTTTTATTAAAACTTAGATCAGCCTATAGTCCAACTAACTAAAATCGTATAATTAAAATTGAAATCTTGACCATTTTGTTGTCTATTCCAGTGTAAATAAATATATATCTGCAATCTCCTATAAGGGCTGACACATGAAACAACGAGAAAGATCTTCCGTTATAATCACCGGTGGATAGATAAATTCTTATATGTCATCAACTAACTCATCGCCAACATTAATTAGATACTAGAACTAAATATATTTTGGATCCTCAAAGAAAGTCATGGAACTTGATATTTAACTGTAGCAACACATGAATAGTATAAAAATTAAATTTGTGATATATTTACATCTAAATATTTATGTGCTTTTCAATGGGAGAAAAAATTCACCAATGTTGTATTTTAATTCGCTAGAAACTTAATAGGATATTATCATATTATTGACAACATTAATTTATGATGTGGATGTCATGATCATTATTAAATAAACTATAGATTTTAAATTTTACATATATGGTAAAACATAAATATATATATATGTATTATTATATTCTCGTTGTCGTTTCTCAAAAAAATATTAGATAATTTTTCTCCCGTTGCGATGCAAGGGCATGTTTGCTAGTGCCTAATTAATGGGGTCAAATTTCGTTCCCTTCCCTAAAATAAAAGTAGTAATAACGAAATGCTCCTTTAGGGTGTTCAGCCGTCCGGACCACGCCTTCCCAAGGGATCGGCCCAACAAGCCCACGCTTCTCTATTAAGAAACAACCACTGAACACCGGTTCCTCAATCCCCTTTGCTCGCCCGTTGAGGCATTCTTCACTATCGCACCATGCCATCGACCGCTGCGGTAGATTCCACCGTGTCGCCTCGCTGCTCGCCTTCTCCAGTGCGGGGCCGCTCGTCGCGACGTTCTCTAGTGCAAGGGTGCTTTGCCGTGGGCATGGCACCAGCCCACCGCGACCTTCTCCAGTAGCGGGGGGCACCTCGCCGCAGGAGGCTACACCTGCCTGACCGCTGTCGTTGCCTCCAGCATGGGGGCCGCTCGCTGGGGGCGCCACCACTCGCCATCGAGCCCGTGCTGCCGCAGATTCCAGCGTGGTCCACGACGACCGCTACGCGCCTGGGCGCCTACTTGGCACCATCCTTCCTCTCTCCACCACGCTGAGCCGATCGCCTGCCACATCCTCGCTCTCCACTACACTCAAGCGCCGCTTACTGGTTACCGCAGTTCCCTATAAGGTAGGCTGTGGCCGCCGCGATGTTGCATTTCAAGTGTTTCAGATGTATGTGTTCAAGTGTTTCATTTGGATATTGTGTATGTTGCAATGGCTATATACGCATGTTGTAATCGTATGTTTCATGTTGCAAGTCTATGTTTAAGTTGTTTCAAACGTATATTTCAAGTGTTTCATCTGGATGTTGCAGAAGTATATCTGAATGTTGCATAATATGAATGTTGCAAGCGTATGTTTCAAGTGTTTCAAACGTATGTTGCAAGTGTTTCATCTGGATTTTGCAAAAATAGATCGGGATGTTGCATATGTTTTTACAATGGATTCCAAGTGTTTTAAGGTGTTTTAGACGTATGTTACAAGTGTTTTAGCTGTTTCAGACGTATGTTGCAAGTGTTTTTATCTAGATGTTGCAGAAGTAGATCGAGATGTTGCACATGTTGCAATAAAACCGACCGCTGCAGACGCTTGTCGCTACTGTTGGGGTGCCGCCGTGGGTCACCGTGCAGGGCCCTAGGACCGACAGACGCCTCCGTAGGCGGGGCAGGTGACTGGGACCCACGCGGGTTCCCCGCGTGTGGGCGCGACAATCATCGGGCGAAACAGAGCGAGCGCGACGGTAGGGGCAGGAAGCAGCATGGGGTCCACGTGGTGGGCCGCATGAAAACAGACGGCGTGGGCTCTCTTACTGCGCGGTAGGCCGGTAGCGTCCAGACGCTAGCGCCTCGGACGGACGCTCGGGCGCTAGCAAGTCCGAATAATCATAATAAACCGAAGATTATAGTTGAACTTGTTGATAATTATTATTAATGATGATCAATTAGGGGTTATTTCTGTCATTAGTAACTGCTAATGGCATTTCCTGTATAATTAGTAGAAGATGTCTTTTTGTTCAGTCTCTAACATGCCACGTAGGGCTTGTATGTATGTACATTGTTCATTGAAATATGGACAATCGTTTGGTGGTGGAGACGGAGCGAGTGATGCAAATGATTGTGTTGCTTAATGGGCGAATGATGCAAATGATTGTGTTGCTCTGTTCGACGGTTAATGGGCCAGCAGATCAGACGCTGGTGTTCTTCACATTGATCGAAGAATGAGGAACAAGCGAGAACAGCAACGACGATGGCAAAATGGTGGAGGATGCTACCGTGGCTCACGGGATCCAACGGCAAGTGCCCAATTGGCCACAAGATCATACGCCGAGCACACGAGCAAGAATGGTTAAGATGCTCTGGCCCTCGATGTCCTATCTCACTGCCACCTCGCCGGCATCAACAATATGAAGATGCGACGGTTCCCATCACAGGAACGTTCCTGAGAGAAAGAAACCATCATCTCACAGAGGCTACACGGAGTAGTCTTTGTCATTTTTGTCGGCGTGGCACGTCACTTCAGCACGCCAGCATGGACTTTGACGCCACCATCTACGAAAGAAAAAAAAATTGAGTACGGGACTCCCGTACACTGCACCGTGTGGCTGCCCAATGAACCCGCAATATGTGGATCTTCAGTTGCGAGCCTCCCAAGCCAATTTTATCGAGCCTGCCACACGTTGTTGTCTGAGTAGGTAGCCGCACGATGCCGCGTACGAGAGTTCGTATCCAATTTTTTTCTCTACGAAAAAACTAGAAACGTTCGTTTCGCTGATAAGCCAAGCTAAAAAAATACTACTAGCTGTACCATACCTTGTCCGTGTGGGAGCCGTGGTGTGGCGAGCACCGTGTTTCTGGTTTGTCCGTGTGGTCGTTTCGGCGCGGCCCCGGGATCACGTACCAGCAGCACAGCTGAAAAATACTATTAGCTATACCATACCTTGTCCGTGTGGGAGCCGTGGTGTGGCGAGCACCGTGTTTCTGGTTTTTCCTACGATACACGGATACTTCAAGAGGGGTTCGTATCTCGTATCCGACACATATCGGATACGTATCCAATCCGTACTGAAAATATTGGATATGTATTCACTCAGATACGTGTATCGGACACGTATGGACCAAATTAGATACGGCCTGTGAAGGCCCAACGTCGTGCGTGAGTGCGTGACGTAGCGGCCAGCGCTTCCTCGGTTCCTCCCCGTGTCACTGTTTTTAGCAAATTGCGTATCTGCATATCCGATACGTATCGTATCCGATACTCGTATCCGTATCTGGGCAACGTAGGGTTTGTCCGTGTGGTCGTTTCGGCGCGGCCCCGGGATCGCGTACCAGCAGCACCTGCCCTTCTCGCGCGGCGTTGTGTGCTCTCTTATCCGCGCCGCGTCCTCCCCGTCCCCTTCCACTCCTCATAAACCCCCGGACCCTCTAACTAAACCCTCACCGGCCACCCGTGTCAATGACCGGCGCCGCCGCCGCCGGTCGCTGCCTCCTCCTCTCCCGCCCGTCCCCTTTCCGGCTCCGCCTCCTCCGGGCCGCCCTCTCCACCGCCGCCCCCACCCTCGGCCCGACCTCCACTCCCGCTCCCCCTCCGCGGCACGAGCTCCTCCTCGAGCGCCTCCGCCTCCGCCACCTCAAGGACGCCTCCTCCCCCGGCGCCCCGAGGCCCGCCTCGAGGGGCGCGGAGCGGAGCTCGCAGCAGGGGAAGAGGAAGAGGGTCGAGGCCGCGGAGAGCTTCGAGGAGCTCGGCCTCGGGGAGGAGGTGATGGCCGCGCTCGGGGAGATGGGCATCTCCAAGCCCACGGAGATCCAGTGCGTTGGCGTCCCGGCGGTGCTGGCCGGTACCAGCGTCGTGCTCGGCTCCCACACTGGCTCCGGGAAGACGCTCGCCTACTTGCTCCCTCTTGTTCAGGTTTTCCTTCTTTCTCAGTATGGTGGCATCTGGCATATATGCAGAGTATACATTGCAAAAAAACCGTGGAAGAAAGATCCAATTGAGTTACGTTACTTGTCATCGTAGTACATTTGTTTCCATTAGAAGGGAAGACAAGTCACTTGATCCATTACGAAGGATCATTTCTTTGGATAGAGACGTTTGCTCTATTAGTTCCACGAAATTGGTAGGTGCACCTTGTTTTGAGTTCAACGATTTCTTGATGCCTGCTTGCTAAAATCTACTGTACCATCTAGGCTATTGTAGGATAAAAAAAAGTGTATAACACATGTGAGTTATCTTGTTTAATCCAGTTTCTGCTTTTATAATCTATACAAAGACGTTTCCAATAACAGGCTTGATTACGCCATGGATGCAACCTGATTGGAGTTAAACCAAGCAGATTTTCTCTTGGTTATGCCTGTTAATCAGGATACACATAACAAAATGGATTGGTATCCAAACTAACTATGGCACTCCTTTTATTTTATAGCTACTTCGGCGTGATGAAGCAATGCTGGGGATGTCAATGAAACCAAGGCGTCCAAGAGCAGTAGTTCTCTGCCCCACTAGGGAGCTAACAGAGCAGGTCGTCCATGATTTCAAATTATTTTGGAACAATGATGTTAGCTGGGTAACTCAGTTATAGTAGCATTAACTCATGCAAATTGACCAAATTACAGGTTTATCGAGTTGCAAAGTCTATCAGCCATCATGCACGTTTTCGGTCAACGATGATTAGTGGAGGCACCCGTCTAAGACCCCAGGAAGATTCTTTGAACATGCCCGTTGACATGGTTGTTGGTACTCCTGGAAGGATTCTTGATCATATCAAGGATGGTAACATGGTTTATGGTGATATTAAGTATCTGGTATGTTATTAAGTTTGTGCTTATATTTACCAGTTTGTAACATATTCACTGTTCTCATAATTGTCTAGTTTTGATTTTCTTGTTCTGCATTTGCAGGTTCTGGATGAGGCAGATACAATGTTTGATCAAGGCTTTGGACCAGACATACGGAAGTTCCTCGCTCCGTTGAAGAATCGTGCGGCAAAGCCTGGTGATCAAGGTTTCCAAACAGTATTAGTCACTGCCACTATGACAAAGGTTTTATGATCATCAAACATCCTTCCCTTGAAATCTATCTGATCCTCTGATTTTGATTCATATATGCATACTTGGTTAGGACACATTGCTAATCTCATTAGACTGTTATGTATGGTTTCACCTTTAAAGTGTCTTGCTTGTTGCATCAATTAGCATTCAAGTACAAAGAAATCCCCAGTCTTTTGATAAATCTTTTGATCTCTTCAGTTTGCAGTACTGATACTTCAGATATATATATCTTGTTTATTATTTGTTTTCGTGTTTTCAACCCCTTTCTTCCTACTCTTTTACTGCAGGCTGTGCAAAAGTTGATTGATGAGGAATTTGAAGGTATTGTCCATTTGCGGACATCATCATTTCAAAAGAGAGTTTCAACAGCACGGCATGACTTTATCAAACTTTCTGGAGCAGAAAACAAACTTGAGGCTCTTCTGCAGGTTGTGGAAACTCTTATTTCTCCTTCCCTCCTGTGCACATATATCTGTCTTTCCATACACTCTAGTTTAGAACTTGACAGTTGTATAAAAAACCTCAAAACTGGTTTTATATATGCATTCTACACTTATTGTTATACTTTTTTGTCAGTACAGTAATGTACTCCCTCCGTTCAAATTTTAGGTTGTTTTGGCTTTTTTAGAGAGACAACTTTTACTACGTATCTAGACATATCGTATATCTAGGTGCATAGCAAAAGCTATGTACCTAGAAAACCCATAACGACCTATAATTTGAGACAGAGGGTGGTAGCTATGTTAGATGGGTGGATTGATGATTCCAAATTTCCAATTGACAATTGTTGTGAAAATTTGAAGTATGAATGAAGGGCCTGTTCGGTTCCATTTAGTCCCTGGACTAAAGTTTAGTCCAGGGATTAAACTTTAGTCCCTACCTGTTTGGATCCAGGGACTGAAAGTCTAGGGATTAAACTTTAGTCCCTACTTGTTTGGATCCAGGGACTGAAGGTCATTAAAGCTACTATACAAAGACCAAAATGCCCTTCTTCTCACTCTCTCTCTCTCTCTCTCCTTCTGTGCATTAATGAGGGACATGGGGTGTCTTTTGTCTGGTTTAGTCCCCTTTAGTCACCCCCTTGGGGACTAAAGGACTAAACCAGTTTAGTCACTTTTTAGTCACCCTGTTTGGCAATTTAGTGACTAAAAGGGGCCAAAACCACCTGGAACCAAACAGGGCCAATATAACCACATTATTGTATCTGGAATTCAATTAATGGAGTGATCTTTTTTTCAAAATGTCATTGGTCTTTGGCTAGTTTGGGTGATTGGGGTGGTTGGATCAATCATTCTTTTTCTTTTTCTTTTTTTGGAACGGATCAGTCATTCTTTATAGGATGGTGTGGTGGAGGTGAGAAGGCAAGGGGATAGGATCATCTTAGTTAAACTTGTCATTAGTGATATGGTCTTAAACGTAATTAGTGCATATGCCCCCCTAAGAAGGCTATGATGAGAGTGCTAAGCGGCTTTTCTAGGAAGACTTAGATCGCTTGGTTAGAGCTGTCCCTAGTAGCGAGAAGCTCTTTATAGGAGGTGATCTTAATTGCCATGTAGGTACATCAAGTGCAGGTTTCAAGAGGCGGTTCATGGGGGTTTTGGATATGGTAGTAGGAATCAGGAGGGAGAGGAAGTCTTAGACTTCGCCATAGCTTTTGATCTGATGATAGCTAACACTTTCTTTCATAAGAGACAGTCCCATTTAGTGACCTTTAGTAGCGGCCAGTATTTAGTCAAATCGACTTTGTCCTTAAAAGAAGGAGGGATGTAAGGTGATACCTGGAGAATGTGTGGTCGCTCAACACAAGTTGGTGGTGGCTGACTTTCGCTTTCTGGTGCAAGCTCGTGTGAACAAACAAGCTAGGGTTGTAAGAATGAAGTGGTGGAAATTAGAAGGGGAGACATCAAAGGTCTTTAAGGAAAAGGTCATTGAAGAGGGCCCTTGGAAGGATGAATGTGATGCAAACAACATATGGGAGAAGATGGCAATATGTGTTCAGAAGGTTGCTTCAGAGGTGCTTGGAGTGACCAAAGAGAGCGGATGCGACTCGAAAGACACTTGTTGGTGGAATGAAGATGTGCAAAAGGCTATTAAGGAAAAGAAGGAATGCTATAAGCGCTTGTATCATGACAGGTGTGCAGACAACATAGAGAAGCACAAGGTGGCAATGAAGATTGCAAAACAAGCGGTGAGTGAGGCAAAGGGGCGGGCTTATGAGGACCTTTACCGACGTTTGAGTACGAAGGAAGGGGAGAAGGACATTTATAGGATGGCTAGGGCTCGCGATAGGAAAACAAGGGATTTCAACCAAGTCAAGTGCATAAAGGATGAGAGGGAGCAGCTCTTGGTAAAGGAGGATGAGATCAGACATAGATGGCAAGAGTATTTTGATAAATTGTTCAATGGTGAGAACGAGAACACCACCGTTTAGCTGGACGACTCGTTTGATGACACTAACAGACGCTTTGTGCGGAGAATTCAAGAATTGGAGGTCAGAGAAGCCTTGAAAAGGATGAAAGGGGGCAAAGCGTTGGGCCTTGATGGTATCCCAATCAAGGTGTGGAGATGTCTCGTGGATATAGCTATAGTATAGCTAACCAAGATGTTCAACAATATCTTTCGATCGAACAAGATGCCCGAGGAGTGGAGAAGAAGCATATTGATACCAATCTACAAGAACAAGGGAGATATCCAAAGTTATACTAATTATCAGGGAATTAAGTTGATGAGCCACACTATGAAGTTATGGGAGAGTCATCGAGCAGCGCCAGCGAGGAACGACGCAGATATCAATAAACCAATTTGGTTTTGTGCCCGGAAGGTCAACCACAGAAGCAATCTTCTTAATAAGACAAGTTATGGAGCGGTTTAGAGAGCAGAAGAAGGACATTCACATGGTTTTCATTGACTTGGAGAATGCTTATGACAAGATACCAAGTAATGTTATGTGGTGGGCTTTGGACAAACATAAAGTCCCATCAAAGTACGTGACCTTCGTCAAGGACATGTACAACAATGTTGTGACTAGTGTTTGAACAAATGATGGTAACACAGATTACTTCTCGATTAAAATTGAATTTTATCAAGGGTCAGCCTTAAACCCGTATCTCTTTGCCTTGGTAATGGATGAGGTTACCAGGAACATACAAGGGGATATCACTTGGTGTATGTTGTTCGCTGATGATGTAGTGTTAGTGGACGAAAGCCAGGCGGGAGTAAATAGAAAACTAGAGTTATGGCGGCTGACCCTTGAATCTAAAGGTTTTAGATTGAGCAGAACTAAAACCGAATACATGAGATGCAACTTTGGCGGAGCTGCACATGAGGAGGGAGATCTAAGTTTGGAAGGTCAAGTAGTGCCTAAGAAGGATACCTTTCGGTATATGGGATCGATGCTACAGAGGGATGGAGATATTGATGCGGACGTTAGCCATAGAATCAAAGTAGGGTGGATCAAATGGCGACAAGCTTCTGGCTTTCTCTGTGACAAGAGGGTACCACAAAAGTTAAAAGGCAAGTTCTATAGAACGACGATTAGACCGGCTATGTTGTATGGAGCAGAATATTGGCCTACAAAGATTCGACATGTTCAACAACTGAGTGTTGCAGAAATGCGTATGTTGCGATGGATTTGCGGTCACACAAGAATGGACCGAGTTCGGAATGATGATATATGTGATCGCCTAGAGGTAGCACCGATTGAAGAAAATCTTGTCTCACATCGGTTGAGGTTGTTTGGCCATGTCCAAAGGAGACCTCCAGAGGCATCAGTGCATTGTGGAGTCCTAAGCCAAGCTAATAATATGAGGAGAGATAGAGGAAGACCGAAATGGACATGGGGAAGGCAATAAAAAGATATTTGAAAGCTTGGGATATACCTAGAGATCTATGTTTGAATAGAAGTGCTTGGAAAACAGCTATTGAAGTGCTTGAACCGTGATTTGGGGCTCTTGGTGGGTTTCAACTCTAGCCTACCCCAACTTGCTTGGGACTGAAATGCTATGTTGTTGTTGTTGTTGGATCTGTCATTCTTTGCTTGCCACAACCATTAATGAAGTTGTATTTTGTCTCATGTGGATTGCAATATTGAATGTGCATAGTCGGAAGCTGGTAGCCAAAGGGAGAATTGCAATGTGCACCTTTTCTAGAATATCTAATTGTGAGATAACAAAGAACTTTGTTTCATATAGGTTCTTGAGCCAAGCTTGGCAAAGGGAAACAAAGTTATGGTGTTCTGTAATACTTTAAATTCAGGTCGTGCAGTGGACCATTTTCTAACTGAAAATCAGATATCCACTGTTAACTATCATGGAGAGGTGCCAGCTGAAGAGAGGTTTGTTGTTGTTTTTTTTTTACTCTGTTCTATCTTCTTATGTGTTATATGATATACAAATTCCTTCATATTTATGAGATCGATAATCAAATGTAGAGTTGAGAACCTGAACAAGTTCCGTAATGAAGAGGGGGACTGCCCAACATTAGTATGCACTGATCTGGCAGCTAGAGGCCTGGACCTGGATGTTGACCATGTCATCATGTTTGACTTCCCATCGAATTCGGTATGTTGCGCTGCCTGTATGTTCTTTGTGTTTGCATTTACTCCCATGAATGTGTTTTTTATGCAGTCTTTGTGCTGGTTCTTGTGTTTTTAGATTGACTACCTTCACAGAACCGGGAGAACTGCACGCATGGGAGCCAAAGGTATAAACAATTCTTAGCCAATGGTGCATATTGTCTTATATTTTATCATGATCTTATTGCAAACCAGAAACTAGACTCCATCATTGGAACTTAGGCTACCATCTGTCCATCTCAGTGTCTTCATTGCAGAGAGACCTTGTTATTCTTTCAGTAACAGGAATACAATAGTAAACTGAACAGGATTACACTTTGCATACCTTAGAAAAGGGATAGGATTGACTATAGAGGGAATTTGAATATTTGGTTTTCCTAAAACAAACTGTTATGAAGGGCGGGCCTAGTGCAAGCGGTAGAGTCTTACCGCCTGTGACCGGAAGGTCCCGGGTTCGAGTCGCGGTTTCCTCGTATTGCATAGGCGAGGGTAAGGCTTGCCACTGACACCCTTCCCCAGACCCCGCACAGAGCGGGAGCTCTCTGCACTGGGTACGCCCTAAAACAAACGGTTATGTGATTTTGTGTCAAGTAGTGATATTATGCTTACAAAGGACATGAGGTTTGCCACTTGTGTAGATGCACAAACAGTAGTCTGTAACGGGGTGATCTTCGGACTGGCTGCAGCTAAGATTTGCACGATTCCTATGTCTAACACGCATTGTCATGGTTATCCCTAATGCAGGGAAAGTTACAAGCATTGTGGCTAAGAAGGACGTAGCTTTAGCTACACAGATCGAAGAGGCCATGAAGAAAAATGAGAGCTTGGAAGCTCTCACGACCAACAATGTCAGAAGGGCAACCAGCCCGCAGAGTGTGATCACCAAAGGGAGGCCCTCAAGGTTAGTTAAGACTTCAAATGCTCTTAAAGTTGTCAATCAGAAGGGTAGAAGGGGAATAACACTATCTAGCAAGTCATCCCGGACTCCCAAGGATACAACTTCAACCCGTAGGCGCTCACCACCGAAGAGCCAGGCGAAGACAACAAAATCGGCAGCCCCTCGAAAAGCCAAGCCAGTGAAACCTTCTCAGAGCAGCACAAAGGTCTCGAAGAGCAAAGCAAAACCCGAGTCAAAGAGCAAAGCAAAACCCGAGAGGCGAAAATCAAAGAGTGATGCTCTGAACAAGCTCGGAACTAAGCTCAGTGTGGTTGGATTTAGAGGGCGCAGCTCAGGCAAATCAGCACAATCTTCATGAGGCCTCGGTATTTTTTATTCTTATGCTAAAAAGGTTCTTGGAGGATTTGGATAGTGCAGCCTGTAAATAGCTGAGACTTCGTTTCTTCTTCTTTTTTTTTTCTCCTTGCGGGCTTATAAGTGAAGACCACAATCTGAGATATGAACACAGCACAGCTATGTAATATTGTATACTGCATTCAGCAGAATGTTGGAATAATGCCTTTCATTACCTATTTACCTGTATTCACGTATTATGTCGAGTGCCTGTATGCTCATTGTTTTTAAAAATCTTGGAACATTTTTAAGGTCATCTGAACTGAATGCATTTGTCCGATTGCAGATGGATGTTTATGAAGTTACTCCCTCCGTCTCAAAATAAATGTTGTTCTCGCTTTCTGAGAAATTAAGTGCTTTTAACTTTAACTATATATATATATATATATATATATATATATATATATATATATATATATATATATATATATATATATAAAAAGAAAATATTAATATTTGTAATACCTGGAAACAACTATGGAAGCTGAATTACCCAAAGAAAATGTTGCACTTTCTGTGGCGGCTGGGGCATAACAGCTTGGCGCTGAGAATGAATTTGAAACGCAGGGGGATGAAGATCGACTCGAAATGCTGTTTGTGTAATAGACTTGATGAAGATGGTGCACATTTATTTTTTAAGTGCAAGCAGGTATCGCTATTGTGGTACATGATGCAGATGGAAAATATCAGAGCACATTTTGCATCTATGCAGTCGGCTGTGGAAGGTACATGATGCAGATGGAAAATATCAGAGCACATTTGGCATCTATGCAGTCCATGGAAGTGATTGTGGAAATATTGAAGATGAAGGAAACAATTCAAAGACGAGTGGTAGTCTTGCTGTATGTTTGGTGGTCGGAGAGGTGCGCCATTCGGGAAGGCGACAACCCCCGGAGCATCTCGTATCTTTGCTAGCTGATTACTTCCTATGCAGAGGAATGTTCATCACTGAAACCAGCAGCAAGGGAGTGTGCTCTTCAAAAGCCGAAGATGTCGTGGAAACGACCACCAGTGAACTATGTGAAGGCGAACTGTGATGGATCCTTCAAGCCGCTGAACGGTGTAGGAGGCTGGGGTTTTGTTGTGAGGGGCGATGATGGCGCGGTGATCAGTGCGGGTTATGGTAAACTGGAAAACGTGCTTGATTCCCACCATGCAGAAATCATTGCTTGTCTACAAGCTGTGCAGCGAGCAGCGGAGCTGGGAATCCAGAACCTTGTTTTGGAGACGGATGCATCCATAGTGGTACAAGCTAGATCGCAGTTTTGTGAGCTGTCTTATTTGGGATTTAAAGTACTTAATTGTAATTTTGCCTCCAGGGTAGTCATTCATACGCCTCGTTCATGTAGTTTGGTTGCTCATGAGCTAGCTACTGTAGGAGCTGGTATTAGTCCGGGTTCGGTATTACCGATCTCGGTTCAAGATTGTATACCAAGTTATATTACGATTTGACCTATGTTAACGAGTAATGGAGAATGCTTCCATGTAAAAAAAAACAAAAATGCTATACAACACATATGTGTTTTAGTAAAAAAAAATATATGGATTTTTCTCTCCCTCTCTTTTCACAGGTGGAGGAAGGTCATCGTCGTCGTCGTCCTCGTCCAGTACCATGCGGTTTGCGGTGGTCGACGTGACGGCGCTGGCCAACCTGTGGCCGGACGGCCACCCGGGGCCGTACATGCTAGCTCTTGCATGTCCTCACTTCGTTCATATCGTCCACGATCTGCATGAGAAAACCGATCGATGTTGACTGTATATATACGAGCTGCAAGTTTGAGAAAACTGATTTGTCCTTTTGTCCTTGCATAGAAAAAAATTATTTTTGTGATCTGTGGATATGTGATCTTGTGATTTGTGATTGTCTTGAGGTAGAAGAAGGCTGGAGGTAGAAGGAGGATGGAGGCTGTTGGATTTTAATTCTATGGTGCAAAAAAATTCATGTATTGAAACCGTATAAAACACATGGTTGTTGGGTAGACAGACTCTAAAAAAATATTACTAGATAGATCGTTTAATTTATTTTCATAGTAAACTTATTTAGATATACAAATGTTGAACTTAAGAAAGTTTGAGGGGCAGTCTAGCGTCTGGATGTCTGGACTGACGCTTGTGTCCGGACGCCTGCGGCTGCTTTCCGCGCCCACAGCCGCGCAACGCTCCATCCCTCCGCTTCCCACACGCATGCACGGCGTCACATCAGTTGTAGTAGGCGGCTAAGGCAGGTGAGTCATATTACAACATGTACAACACCCGATCTACTTTTGAAATATTCAGATAAAACTTTTGCAACATGCGTCAGAAGAAAGATGAAACACTAGAAACATACGTCTGAAACACACTTGCGAAAATACCTAAAATGCTTGAAAGCCATTGTAAAATATATGCAACATACTAACAAAAAACACTTGCAAACATGTGTGAAACATATGCAACGTCCAAATAAAAACACTTGCAACATACGTTTGAAAAATAGATGAAACATTTGAAACACACGCTTTGCAACGTACGTATATAGCCATTGCAACATATGCAATATTTCGATCTACTTTTGACAACATCTATACGAAACACTTGCAACATACCTTTAAAACATCTGCAACAATTGAAACATACGTTTGCAACATAGGGGGAGAGAACGAGGTCGGTCGATTCTGGTCGTTAGGATGGGAGCCCGTGGCGTGCGAGCATCATCAGCATCAGCCACGCTCGTGGTGTCCCTTGGCTCGGCTAGAGATGACTTGAGGTGCCTCGGCATCTACGCCCAGCCACCATCGGCATGGGCAGCGGCGGTGGTCGGCGACGCGACGCATCCTGACAGCTCTATGTTGGAGAAGAGACCGGGGAGGCACTGCGCGAACTGAGAGAGGAGACGACATGGTCAGCTTGGGTGGAGGAAAGAGACAACAATGGCGGTGCGGGGCTCTGCTGCTGCCCGCGGACGAGAGAGACTGGGGATGGGGACTGTGAGACGGAGCAAAGAGACAGAGACACATGCGAGGCGGAGTGGAAGCTACGTCCGAACCGACGCCCGCATCCAAGTATTTCTGAAGTTTGACCGACACAAATACTATAACGACTGAACTGACGGATTATGTCACTTTGGGCCTGCTTCACCACTAAAATTTGCGATGGTTTGATGAGCAAAAGTGACCGAAATTGAGTAAATACTTTCGGTCCGGGAGAGAATGCAATTATGGGATCCGTGCCCAAAATAACTTAAGTTTAACCGAGTTTATAGTTAAAATAATATTAGCATTTATGTCTCATAACAAAATTTATTATGAAAATATATTTTGTAGATAATCTAACGGTAATTATTTTATATCATGAATAATAGTAGTTTTTTATATAAATTTAATCAAAGTTCAAACTAGTTGACTTCTCAAAAAACGAGAATTACATTTTTTTCCATCATGAATGATAGTAGTTTTTTATATAAATTTAATCAAAATTCAAATAAGTTGACTTCTAAAAAACGAGAACTATATTCTTTTACGAACGAGAGAGGATGTTGCAAGTTTTGGTACTAAAGCAAATGGTATAAAAACTTTGTTTAGATGACGTTGATTTGATCTGATCTCACGTTCACGTCTACCATGTAGCATGTACCGAGAAGATTAGAAGAATGTGGAACTTTCCGGAAACAACGGAACGGAAACGTTGAGCGTCTGAGCGCTCGTAAATATCTTCTGTTCGGAGTTCGGAGTTCGGAGTTCGGACTTCCGACACGGACAGGGACAGATAGGACCAGCTGGAGGCACGTGGCAGTTGCCATAACCTAATGACATGTGGGCCCAGAAACCCCCGCTGTCTCTGGAGAAAAACCATCCAAATTATCCAAAAGCAGAGACTGGGGTGCTGTTCGCTTGTATCAGAGTCGTAGTGTTTCAGTAAAAAAAAATTGTGTTTTCTTTATAATAAATCAACGAAAAATACTTTTAGTCATGGCTTTTCGGTGAGGGCCTCTATTTTATTCTGAACTCGGCAACATATCAGGTGCAAACCAACCAACCTGTATAAACTTAAAAACTACCGATCAGAACCACTGGATGTTGATCCAATAATAAGATGAGGAGATTAAGCGTAAAAAAAAGGCCGACGGGTGGGGGGTTTAAGCGCAAAAAAATCCTACCTCTCACCTCATCCATTGGATCAGCGTCTAGTGATCTGATCGTTAGTTTCTGAGTTTATACATGTTTGCTGGTTTGCACTGATGCTTGCCGTGTTCTAGAGTCCCGACCACTCAGGATTGGCTGGTGTGCCCCTGATACTTGCCGTGTTCTGGAGTCCCGACCACGCAGGGACGCCTGAGCTTCGCCGTGCCCCGCGCCCCGCACACTCCACCACCTTTCAGAACCTTCCGTCGCCTTCCAGAAGCCCACCCCTCAGCACCAATATAAACGCCCCCTCCCGCCTCGTCACTCCCCACGCCAAGAACAAGAATCACACAAATAATCCAAGGCCTCGTTTAGTTTGTCCGAATCGGCGCCGCCGAATGTACTGTAGCTACACTGTAGGTACAGTAACATTTTGTTTGTATTTGGTAGTAATTGTCCTATCGTTGACTAATTAGGCTCAAAACGTTCGTCTTGCAAAGTACAACCAAACTGTGCAATTAGTTTTTGATTTCGTCAACATTTAGTACTCCATGCATGTACCATAAGTTTGATGTGATGGGGAATCTTTTTTTTTTGCATAGTGTCAAAGTTTGGAATTTGGTGGCAACTAAACACACACAAACACACACCCCCCCCAACCCCCCCAAGAAACCAACACAGCAACAAGCAGAGCAATCCGAGATCCGCCAGCGGCAGCGAGAGAGATCGAGAGATGGACGCGAGGATGTTCGGGCTGGAGACTCCGCTGATGGTGGCGCTGCAGCACCTTCTGGACGTGCCCGACGGCGACAAGGCGGGCTCCGGCGCGGCGGGCGGGGCCACGCGCACCTATGTCCGCGACGCG